CCTAGCTGTAGGACACATCTTCTTGCTCAACTTCATATGACCAGCAAGAGGTGTACTAATAGGCTTAGCATTCTTCATATTGAAGCGCTCTAGTACATGTTCAATGTACTTCTTTTGTGACAAGTGAATCTTCTTTTTATCTCTAAGACGAGTAATTCTCATGCCCAAAATTTGCTTGGCATGACCCAAGTCTTTCATAGCAAAAGACTTACGCAACTCTTTCTTCAACTCGTCAATCTTGGAAGTATTCTTGCCCACAATCAACATATCATCCACATACAACAAGAGGATGATAAAATCATTGTCAGAAATTTTTTGTACAAATACACAATGATCTGAAGAAGTTTTCTTATAGCGTTGCTCCCCCATAATAGATTCAAATTTCTTGTACCACTGTCTAGGAGCTTGCTTTAGGCCATAAAGACTCTTTTTGAGTTTGCACACAAAATGTTCTTTGCCTTCTACTTTGAAGCCCTCAGGTTGTTCCATATAAATTTCTTCTTCTAGGTCACCGTGAAGGAAAGCCGTCTTCACATCCATCTGCTCAATCTCTAAATTAAGACTAGCAGCCAAACCCAGAACTGTACGAATCGAGGACAATTTCACAACAAGAGAAAATATCTCGTCAAAGTCAATACCCTTCCTTTGACCAAATCCCTTAACAACCAATCTAGCTTTGTACCTTGGCTTCAAGTTGTGTTCTTCAACTTTAACTTTGAACACCCACTTGTTCTTCAAAGCTCTCATGCCCTTGGGCAATTTTACCAACTCATAAGTGTGGTTCTCATGCAGAGATTTCATCTCATCTTGCATGGCTTCAATCCATTGATCCTTGCGCTCATCTTCCATGGCCTCCTCGTAACATTCAGTTTCTCCCCCGTCAGTGAGTAAAACATACTCATTGGGTAAATAACGAGATGAAGGAACCCGCTGCCTTGTGGACCTCCTGAGCGGGATATTTGATTCGTCCACAACTTCATGAGCATGAGGATCATCAATAACAATATCATTGTTATTATCAACATCAACATGTTAATTCAATACATGATTCTGGGCGTCACCATGATTATCAAGCCCAACAATATCATGCACACTTGTGTGAGGAACTTCATCTAGATGAACTATGCCATCAAAACTTGAAGATTCTAGCTTCTCTGCTTTGTCAATATCTTCAATTGTTTGATTTTCCATGAAAATAAT